CAAGCGTTTTGCCACTGAGCCACCTTCCCAGCCCGGAATTCTTTTTTATTTTTGGTTCCAGTCCTGAGGCTTGTACTCAGAGCCGTGGGGCACTGTCCTGTGCTTCTTCAGCTCAAAGCTAAGTACTCTGCCACTTGAGCCACAGCACCACTTCCAGCTTTTTGGTGGTTAATTGGAAATAAGAGTCTCATGGACTTTCAAAGTGATTTGAACTGCAATTCTCAGATCTCAGCCTCTTGAGTAGCTAGGATTATAGGTGGGAGCCACCGGTGCCTGGCTAGAATTCTTATTCCTACATAGTAGGAATACTGTGCCTCCCAGACAGGTACTACTGCTTTAACTATATATCTTGATGCCTGATCAGGAAGTAGCTTGAGGAGTAATTGTGGCAAGCAAAAGGCTAGAGTGTCAAATGGTTTCTAGGCCAAAGGTTATTCCACAGATTATTGATTATTTAGGGAAGCCTATACCTTTATAGTTAGAGAATAGTTGCTAACTACCTTAAACAGGTGCTCAAACTCAACATCAATAGATCTTGCAGCTGGGGCTAGTGGCTCACACCTGTCATCCTAGCTACTCAGAAGGTGGAGATCTGAGAATGGAGGTTTGAAGCCAGCCAATCTAGGAAAGTCCTTGAGATTTTTATCTCCAATTAACCATTAAAAAGCCAGAGGCGGAACTGTAGCTCAAGTGGAAGAGTTCTGGCCTTGAGCAAAAAAGCTTAGGGACATAGGGACAGTGCCCTAAGCTTGGGGAAGGAGGGGGGTTGGGGGGGGGAGGGAAGCTGTGTTCAATTCTCCGGCTAAGGGAGGGAAAGGGATGGCTTCTGCAAGAGTTGAGTGGAATAAAGCAAATTAAGCATGTTGCACAGAAGCAGGTACAGAGTGAGTGTTCAATTAATTTCCTGGATGGTTTCAGCATCTCTCCTTTTTCATCCTCACAACATTGAAATAATCTGTTTATTGAGCTGCTCCTTTATTTGAGGTTTCTCTCCCGACCATGAGCTCTTTATAAAGAAGGGACTTGGGCCTGCTGGATGTTTTCCAATACCTGTGGGATCTGCAGATGCTGTTGCTACCATCAAAACCTTTCCCCTGGATGAACAATACATTCTCTTGCGATGGGCCGGAGGAGTGTCTCTCAGGAATGTAGGCCAAAGCTGATCCAGGCCCAGATACCAGCTCCTGAGTAGGAACAGGATAAAGGATCTGAGTAAAGCTACACAATTCCTATTATTTGAATAGTTCAGTTGGTGGTTAACCGCTTAACTGTATATTTAGTCGGTCGTGGGGCCTGGGCGCTGTCCCTCAGCTCTTCAGCTCAATGCTTCAGCTCCTGCTTTTTCTGCTTATGTGGTGCTGAGAAATCGAACCCAGGGCCTCATACATGCAAGGTAAGCACTCTACCACTGAGTCACCTTCCCAGACCCAATTTTTTTTATTTTTGTCGGTCGTGGAGCTTGAATTCAGGGCCTGGGAGTTGTCCCAGAGCTTTTTTGTTTAAGGTGGGGGAGCTCTACTTGGGCCACAGCTCCGCTCCAAAGATGCTCAGACGTTCTTGTTCTCTCGCGAGCAGCTACAACTACAAGCATCTGGGAATGCTGTATGTACAAGTCCAACAGCACTGTCCGCAGTAACCTAGACCAGAATAAAGCCAGTACTTACTGTTGCAAACCAGTTATGTTCAGTCTCCGTAGAGACTGTCAAAAATTGCCAATGCCGACTATATTGCAAGTCGTCACGGCGGGGTATTGGGAAAAGTTTTCAATTAGCAATAATCGCGCCTCGGATAAACCTCATTGGCTACGATACTGCCACTGCGCAAAGCTAAAGAATGAATCCCCCTCACAGCTCTCCCAGAGATGACAACGCCCTTTACATTGAGGGTGAGTTACTTCCCATACATTCACCGTATAAAGCATTTTCTATTTGAGTAGGTCTATCTCCGTCCATCGGTGCGGGGGAGTTCTTTACTAATGGTTATCTGGTGGCCATACATCCCGATTTGTGAACTAGAGGGACGATCGCTAGGGATGATGGGGATTCTTATGCAAATAAGCCTGACGTCACAGAGATGACTGGGTTTAAGACTTCTAGAACCGACGCGGAAACAAGAGCCTGGGTGGGTGAGTAGGGGAGGAAAGCAAAGGGGACAAAAGAGGTGGTGTGTGTTGCGGGGGAATACACTATGGGGCTGAGTACAGAGGTGTTCTTAAGGAGGTTAGTACATAGCTTTTATGAAAATAAAAGGGAAGGCGTCGCAACCTTCAGTGTGGCAAAACAGAAACCAAGCGCACGGGAGATGAGAACCAGAACTTAAAAGAACAAGATAAGAAAAAATGTCAGCAAAAGTTCGCGGTGTAGTTTCAGAACTAAAAAAAAATCCGTAAAGAAAGCCACCAGCACACAGGCGCAACTAACGTAGCACAACTACAAATGAAATCCTCTTTCTTAAAACATGGCTTATTCAGTCTCCGTAGAGACTGTCAAAAATTGCCAGTGCCGACTATATTGCAAGTCGTCACGGCGGGGTATTGGGAAAAGTTTTCAATTAGCAATAATCGCGCCTCGGATAAACCTCATTGGCTACGATACTGCCACTGCGCAAAGCTGAAGAACGGTGTGCCTCACTCTCCTCTCTCAGGGATGACACTACCCTTTACAATGAGGGTGAGTTACTTACCCACACATTCACTGTATAAAGCCTTTTCTATTTGCATAGTTCTACCTCCATCCCTCGGCGCGGGGAGTTCTCTACTAATGGTTATCTGGTGCCCATATATCCCGATTTGTGAACTAGCGGGACGATCGCTAGGGATGATGGGGATTCTTATGCAAATAAGCCTGACGTCACAGACATGACTGGGTTTGACTTCTAGAACAGACGCCGCAACAAGAGCCTGGGTGAGTAAGGGAGGAAAGCAAAGGAGACAAAGGAGGTGGTGTGTCTTGCGGGGGAATACGTTATGGGGCTGAGTACAGGGGTGTTCTTAAGGAGAGAGTGGAACTGCTTTTATGAAAATCATTATAAGGGAAGGCATCGCAACCTTCAATATTAAATGTGGCAAAAGAAAACAAGCGTGGGTGGTGAAGACCACAACTTAAAACAAGCAGAGTAAAAAAATGCTACTAAAAGTTGTTGAGAGAGTTCCAACTACAACTTAACCCAACTCAGCTACCCGCACGCAGCCACAAGTTAGCACAGTTAGGACCGAGGCACTCTTCTTAAACACGACTTATTCAGTCTCCGTAGAGACTGTCAAAAATTGCCAATGCCGACTATATTGCAAGTCGTCACAGCGGGGTATTGGGAAAAGTTTTCAATTAGCAATAATCGCGCCTCGGATAAACCTCATTGGCTACGATACTGCCACTGCGCAAAGCTGGAGAGCGCCACTTCCTGGTCATCATTCCCAATAAATGAGGTCCCTATTTCAGAAAGGTGAATTTAAGTCTGAAGGGGGAAAAATAAACTCCCGTTATTTATCTATCTGAAAAATGATGCTGTGAAACGCCATCGTACGTGGAACTTTTGAGAATACATAAGCGTGATTCACTCACTAGGTTTACGTGGAGAATGTGCAAAGCACTATGGGAGGAACACATGCTAATATATTTTAATGCAAAGACAGAGGGAAGATTGACAGGGATGGGTGCCTGCGGAGACTGGCCTTGGTGGCTCACATTTCACAGTGTAAACCTTTCTCCAAAGCGTTTTGGCTGCTGCTGTTTAAAATATATAAAGTATATACAACAAAATGTACCATTTTAAGTGATTTCAGGGTGAATTCGGTGACATTTAATATACTCAGATTATTGTGCAAGCATCACTTATCATTCACCTCCAGACTCTCTTTTTTTTCCTTTCTGTGAACTCTGGGCCTGGGCGCTGTCCCTGCGCTCTTCAGCTCAAGGGGAGCGCTCTGCCACTGGAGCCACAGCGCCACTCCCGTTTTTTTCTGATTAACTGGAGGTAAAAGTCACACGGATTTTCCTGCCCTGGCTGGCTTTGAACCGAGATCCTCTGATCTCAGCCTCCTGAGTCGGTAGGCTGACAGGCATGAGCCACCGGAGCCCAGCTCCAGAACCTATTTGTCTTCCTTAATTTCTATTCTCCATTCTCTCACCCTAGCCACTGACAAACAACACTCCTATTGCATGAATTTGACCACACTAGAAACTTTACATAAATGAAATGATACAATATCTGGCCTTTGGGGGGTTCTGATGTATTTCACTCATCATGATACTCGTCCAGGTGGTGCTGCTGTCTAGATCTCCTTTCATTATGGTTGATTGACCTTGCTGAGTGGATTTTGTTTATCCAATCTTTCCTCCTCTGTGCCTGGGGCTGTTTCCTCCCTGGGCTATTGTAGACAGGGTTGCTTGGGTATCAAGTAGCAGTTTGAGTTTCTAGTTTCCTTTTTTTTTGGATACTTAAGTCAAAGTGATGCTGCTGGATCATATGGCAATCCTGTTCATTTCAAAAGAGTTTTCTGTAACCTTTTTCTTTTCACCATTTTCATGCTGGGGATCAAACCCAGGGCTCTCTGCTTGCTAAGTGAAGGGCTCTACCAGCCACCCACATACAGCACTTTTCAGTGTAAACTTTGTCGGTCCGGGTCTGAGCTCTGGGCCTGGGTGCTGTCCCTCAGCTCTTCAGCTCAAGGCTAGCACTCTACCATTTGAGCCACAGCACCACTTCTGTCTTTTTCTGCTTAGGTGGTGCTGAGGAATCGAACCCAGGGCCTCATGCATGCAAGGCAAGCACTCTACCACTGAGCTACCCCTGTGAAAACTTTTTAATTCAGAAAAAGGCTGAAAGGTTATGCCCATGGAAATGCAATGTATATGCAACGTAAAGCAATTGTCTCTCCCTCACTGACTGCTTTACACTGCAAATAGCTATTTGAAACCTCTTTATGAATTTCTTTCTTCCTTGAACTATATTCCTCAACATATCTTGATTTTGACTTTTTCTATTTACTAAAAACGAAACAGCAGTCTCTGAGAAAGTAACCTTCCCTCCACCATTTTATTGTAAAAAAAAAAATTCAAACATAGCTGAGTTTGGTAGTGCACATTTGTAATTTTATCACTGAAAAGATTTGGCAGGATTGCAAGTTTGAGACCAGCCCAAGATACATAGTAACACTCAAAAAAAAAAAAATCAGGGCTGGGAAGGTGGCTCAGTGGTAGAGTACTTGCCTTACAAGCATGAGGCCCTGGGTTCAATTCCTCAGCACCACATAAGCAAAAACAAAAAAGCTGGAAGTGGCACTGTGGCTCAAATGGTAGAGTGCTAGCCTTAAGCTGAAGAGCTAAGGGACAGCGCCCAGGCCCAGAGGTCAGGCCCCACAACCAGACCTCCCCCAAAAAAACAAACACAAGGGGCTGGGAAGGTAGCTCAGTGGTAGAGCACTTGCCTTGCATGCTCGAGGCCCTGGGTTCGATTCCTCAGCACCACATAAAAAAAAAAGCCAGAAGTGGTAGAGCGCTAGCCTTGAGCTGAAGAGCTGAGGGACAGCGCCCGGGCCCAGAGTTCAGGCCCCACGACCGGACCCAAAAACAAAAACAAAACAAAACAAAAAACACAAGAGGCTTAAATAATGACTCCGAACGTTTACAGTTTACATGCTTATCATATAGATATGAAAATTCGGCTTTTAGACGTCTATTTGGTGCTGATGTGTGTATATTACTTTTACATTTATGACAGCACAAACTGGTAGGGTAGGATAACCAGCTGGAAAAAAAAGACTGGATCAATGTCAAATAATCTAAATTAATCAAATTGATTTCATAAGTTCAAAGAAACTTCCTAGCTTTTGAGGATGTCTTTACTGGGGCTGGGAAGGTGGCTCAGTGGTAGAGCGCTTGCCTTGTATGCATGAGGCCCTGGGTTCGATTCCTCAGTACCACAGAAGCAGAAAAAGCCGGAAGTGGGGCTGAGGCTCAAGTGGTAGACCGCTATTCTACAGCTGAAGAATTGAGGGACAGCATCCAGGCCCAGAGTTCCGGCCCCATGATTGACAAAAGAGAAAGAGAGAGAGAGAGAGAGAGAGGATGTCTTTACTGAATGGCTCAGTAGCTTTTTTCCCCTTTTGTCTTATCAGTACTAGGGTTTGAACTCAGCACTTCCTCCTTTGTAGTTAGATATTCTGCCATTTGAGTCATGAACCTAAGTGTACTGCATTTCTAGACAGTTTCTACAAAAGATGTGTATTCCACCTCGTGAACTGAAAAAAGTAACCTGTTAGAAAAATTTCATAATATTGAAATGTAAATATTTTGATATTTTTTATAGTTTTTTACACATAGTAAAAAAAGTGAACCAGGTGCCAGTGGCTCACATCTGTAATCCTAGCTACTAAGGAGGCTGAGATCTGAGGATCGTGGTTTGAAGCCAGCCCAGGCAGGAATGTCAGTGAGACTCTTATCTCCAATAAACCACTAGAAAACCAGAAGTGGTGCTGTGACTCAAGTGGTAGAGTGCTTGCCTTGAGCTGAAGAGCTGAGGGATAGTGCCCAAGCCCAGAATTGAAGCCCTAACTGACACACACACACACACACACACACACACACACACAAAGGTACAATGGCTGGGAATGTGGCTTAGTTGTAGAGTGCTTGCCTAGCATGCATGAAGCCCTAGGTTTGATTCATCAGTACCACAAAACAGAAAAAGCTGGAAGTGCCGCTGTGGCTCAAGTGGTAGAGTGCTAGCCTTGAGCAAAAGAAACTCAGGGACAGTGCCCAGTCCCTGAGTTCAAGCCCCAGGACTGGCAAAAAAAAAATTTTTTTTTGAGGGGTGATAGAACCTAAGACTTTCTTTCCTCCTATTTTTCTCACTGGAAACAACCAAGAACAGCAAGGAAATAAGTAAACATTTGATTCCCAGGCCTCTCCTCGGACCAATAAAGTCAGAATTTCTGCAAGTGAAAAATAGCCATTATGTTGGTTTTTTTAAAAAACAAAAACATTGAAGAAGCCAAGTGGGTGAGTACATTAGTGAGTGCATTGATAATACTTAATACATCCAATTTTCAGATGTTTGTGAATGCATTTCTTCACAACCCACTACAAGGTTATTTTACACACAGCAAGGATCTTGATTCCATTGTGTCCAATATAACATTAAACACCAAAGATAAAGATGGATCGGATATAGATCCATTATTAAAACAGCATAAAATCTTAGGACAATGCTGTTTAAATGCTGTTTTGCATCCAAAATTTTGCTTGGGTTCATTGGTACTTAAATTCTTGCTTCTCTGTGAAGAGTCTTTAGCTCAGGTGAGAGCTGTACTAAGGTTCCACTTTTGTGACTAGGAAAGACCGGTAGGGGGCGCTCTGTGAGACTCCAGGTCCCTCAAACAGGAGAAACGTGGGATTCGGGGAGTTGTAGTTTTATTTGCAGCATATCTGCTTCATGAACTACATTTCCCAAAATGCTTTTGCAGCCTTGTGGCTGAGGCGTGCCATAAATTGTGAAAGGTAAGCGTATTTCATGTGGGCTCTAGGTTTTCTGGACATCCTGAATTGCTTTTTTTTTTTTTTTTGACATCCTGAATTTCTTGTAAGGAAGTCCATTTCTCCTCTTTGTCCTTGGAGGTGTGGAGGGGGAGATCTGGAAGACAGCATTTGTTTCCCTGGGCCTTTGGACTGTGTGTTTAGCTACTCCAATGTTATTGTGCAATGTTAAATTGGGGTCCTGAACTTGGGTTTAGAAAGCCAAGCATAAAATAATGTTTGCATATAGAGATAATGGAATATATAATGTTTAGGGTTAACTCTTTTTTTTTTTTTTTGGTCAGTTGTGCATCCTGAACTCTGGGCCTGGGTGCTGTCCCTCGGCTCTTCAGCTCAAGGATAGCACTCTACCACTTGAACCACAGGGCCACTTCCGGCTTTTTGTGCTTCTGTGGTGCTGAGGAATCAAACCCAGGGCCTCATGCAAAGCAAGCACTCTACCACACCTTCCCAGGCCCTAGGGTTGGAATATATAATGTTTATATATATATATAGAGAGAGAGAGAGAGAGAAATTTGTGTTGTGTCAAATAACATGCCAAAATCTCTTTTTTTTTTAGAGCTAGCAAAGTTGTCAGGCAGGGTTTTTCTTGTCTGTGTCCTAGTGACAAAAGTTTGCAATGGAATAATTTGGAGGAAATGAAGGAATAAAAGGTAGGTGTGGGGCTGGGAAGGTGGCTCAGTGGTAGAGTGCTTGCCTTGCATGCATGAGGCCCTGGGTTCGATTCCCCAGCACCACATAAGCAAAAAAGAAAAAAAGCCGGAAGTGGCACTGTGGCTCAAGTGGGTAGAGCGCTAGCCTTTAGCTGAAGAGCTGAGGGACAGCGCCCAGGCCCAGAGTTCAGGCCCCACGACTGGACCCAAAAAATAAAAAATAAAAATAAAAGGTAGGTGTGTGTGTGTGTGTGTGTGTGTTGTGCTTAGTTATGTATGTAAAAGCAAAAGCCTGAAATGTCTGAACAGCTTCATGAAACTTGACATGCTGGGTGGGAGGTAGGCACTGGCTAATTAATATGCAAGAGGCCCCTGGTTCAACCCCCTGTACTGGGTGGTGCTGGTGTATGGGAAACCTGACATATTGGAATTCCAATGTGTTTCTCTTAGTTTAAGGAGCCATAAAAGAACTCAGATTTATAAAATCGGAAGTAAGTTTTTGTAATGTAAGAAAACCTGTCTTTTCTATCAAAGTGTGTTGCTTAAACATTCCAGCTTTCGCCTGGTGGCTTGGCTCTTGTTAAGGCAAAAGGAATTGCTTTGGGATAAGGAAAAGGTTTTGAAATGCCAAGTTCTGTCTTAAACTTGTTTCTCTTCAAAGTGGAATTAAGGCACACCTCAGATTGCTAAAGAAATAGCATGGGGTGCCAGTATATTTTGGCATTACTTGTGTACTGTTAATCTTATTTCAATGTGGCCTTATGTGAATACATTTTATGTATTCAAACTGGCCAGTCATGAGCAGATTGTGAACCTGAGCTCAACCAAACTGAGCAGAGGGGTGGGGCCAGCAGTGTTAGGGATTAATAGGGGAGCAGCCTGCCTGCTCTTGTGCTTGCTTGCTAGGTTTTTGGCTGATGGCATACCCATCCCAGAAGTAAGTTTTGCCTTGCCAAGACAATAAGACAATTCTTTATTTTTGTGTCTATCATTGTGACTCCACTGGTTCTTTTTTTTTTTTTTTTGCCAGTCCTGGGGTTGGGCCTGGGCACTGTCCCTGAACTTTTTTGCTCAAAGGTAGTGTTCTATCATTTCCACCACAGCTCCACTTCTGGATTTTTGCTGGTTAATTGGAGATAAGAGCCTCTCAGACTTTCCTGCCCCAGCTGGCTTAGAACCATGATCCTCAAATCTCAGTCTTTTGAGTAGCTAGCCACCAACAGCCAGATTATAACTGACTTCTTATACTTAACATACGTGTCCATCCACATACATATATCAGATTGTTATTTTCATGGCTGAATAATACTCCACAATATAGATAGGCCACATTTTGCTTATCCATTCATCAGTTGGTGGTTAACTTCTGTTTGCACAACCTAGCTTCTCACAAGAGGGTTCTTTTTTTCTTTAGAATGAGGATGAGCTGTGGATTGACTTACAGGTCAATGAAGAGCCGTTGGATCACAAAACTCAGCCGGCCTTGCTCACATGGACCCATGGGATTATTTGTGCCACCAAGTCCTCCTTTGGACCCTAAGAAGGTCAAAGAGTTACAACGCTTCATCACCCTTTCCAAGAAACTTCTAGTGATGACCGGGGCAGGAATCTCAACTGAATCAGGAATCCCAGACTACCGGTCAGAAAAGGTGGGACTGTATGCTCGTACGGACCGGCGACCTATCCAGCATGTAGATTTTGTACGAAGTGCTCCCATCCGCCAGCGCTACTGGGCAAGAAACTTTGTGGGCTGGCCTCAGTTCTCAGCCCACCAGCCAAATCCTGCCCACTGGGCTTTGAGCAACTGGGAGAAAAGAGGAAAGCTGCACTGGTTGGTGACTCAAAATGTGGACGCTTTGCACACCAAAGCAGGGAATCAGCGCTTGACGGAGCTGCATGGGTGCATGCACAGGTGCAGGAAGTGGGCATGGCTGGAATGGGAAATGGTTTGTGACCTGGTCAGGGGAGAGTGGAGAAAGCAGAGGGCATTGGCATGGAAACCAGCAGGGAGCATGACTTTTGTTGTTGTGGCTGGGTGTGCAAGCCAAGGCCCCATGAATGCTCTGCATCTCACCTGTGCCCCTAAACCAAGAAAAGAGATACTGATCATTACAGAGAGCAAAGCATAGAGGGGAAAAACAACAACAACACTGGTTTTAGGTATCAAAGAAATTACTTTAAGCATTTGCTATTAAAGACCAAAGCAAAATAAAGACAAAAGCAGTCTAGTAGAGCCGGGAGCCTGTGGCTCATACCTGTAATCCTAGCTACTTAGGAGGTGAAGAAAAGAGGATGGAGGTTTGAAGCCAGCCCAGGCAGGAAAATCCATGAGACTAATTTCTAATTAACTCCCCAAAAAACTGAAAGTGGAGCTGAGCTCAAGTGGTTGATCACTAGCCTTGAGAGAAAAACAAAACAAACTGGAACAGCTCAGTCCCTGAGTTCAAGTTCCAGGAATGGCACACACATAATAAAATAATTGAACAGAAGAGTAAGTAGGGAGTAAGGAAACAAGAAATCATTTAAAAAAAAAATGATACCTAGTTGGGCACTGCTGGCTCATGCCTGTCATTCTAGCTATTCAGGAGGCTGAGATTTGAGGATCCTGGTTTGAAGCCAGCCCATGTAGGAAAGTCCAGGAGACTCTTATCTTCAATAAACCACTCAAAAACTGGAAGTGACACTGTGGTTCAAAGTGGTAGAGCACTGGGGCTGAGAAGGTGGCTCAGTGGTAAAGCGCTTGCCTTGCATGCTTGAGGCCCTGGGTTCGATTCCTCAGCACCCATAAGCAAAAAAAAAAAAGCCGGAAGTGGTGCTGTGCACTAGCCTTGAGCTGAAGAGCTGAGGGGCAGTGCCCAGGCTCAGAGTTCAGGCCCACGACCGGACCCAAAATAAAACAACAAAAGTGGTAGAACACTAACCTTGAGCAAAAAGGGCTTAGGGATAATGCCTAGGCTCTGAGTTCAAGCCCCATGACTGACCAAAAAAAAAAAAAAGACACCTAATAAGGGAGGAGAATGGGAAATGTGGATGTGAGGAGAAGAGAAGAGGGTCTGAAAATAGTTGGGGAGTAAGCACTTCGGCAGCTTTGCAGGTCCCAAGAATGCAGTGATCAGCAGGTCTCATGTTTGATTTTAGGGTCCTCTGCCTGAATTGTGGTGAGCAGACTCCTCGGGGGTTGCTGCAGGAACGCTTTCAAGACCTGAACCCCAGCTGGAGTGCTGAGGCCCAGGGCGTGGCTCCCGATGGAGATGTGTTTCTCTCCGAGGAGCAGGTCCAGACTTTCCAGGTCCCGTCCTGCGTGCGGTGCGGAGGCCCTCTGAAACCAGATGTCGTTTTCTTCGGGGACACAGTGAACCCTGATAAGGTTGATTTTGTGCACAGGCGTGTGAGGGAAGCCGATTCCTTGCTGGTAGTAGGATCTTCTCTGCAGGTACCTGACTCAGTCAAGGTGGTTAACTGCCCTTTGCTTCCTCTTATCTGGACTAGCTTTTCCTGGATCTCACTTTGTTTCCGGTCTGGGCAGGTGTACTCTGGTTACAGGTTTATCCTCACTGCCCGGGAGAAGAAGCTACCAATTGCCATACTGAACATTGGGCCCACACGATCAGATGATTTGGCATGTCTGAAACTGAATTCTCGCTGTGGAGAGTTGTTGCCTTTAATAGTTCCACACTGACTAACAGCCTGATCGTCCTGAGCCTAAATCTGGAACGTTCCCTTGAATCCTGCTGCTGAAGGTAACGGTCTTCTCAGATACCTAACATACTGATTCCTACTGGAGAATAGTAATGGAGGCCAATGAGACAAAGGTTCTGGGATTCTTAACATAGGGCCATTTTTTTTTGGGGGGGTGGGAGTGGCTGGTTGTGGGACTTGAACTTTGAACTCAGGGTCTGGGCGCTGTCCCTGAGCTCTTTTGCTCAAGGCTAGCGTTCTACCACTTTGAGCCACAGCTCCACTAAAACTGTATTGTATGTGTGTGTGTGGTGTGCTGGTATTAAACTTAAAGTCTGTGTGCTGTCTTAGCACTTTTGCTCAAGGCTGGCATTCTGCTACTTGAGCTATAGCTCCACTTCTGGCTTTTTTTTGTTGTTGTTTGGGTCCCAGAGGTTTGAACTCAGGGACTCGGCACTGTCCCTGAACTCTTTTTGCTCAAGGCTAGCATACCAGTACATAAGCACAGCTCCACTTCTGGCTTTTTGCTGGTTAATCGGAGATAAGAACATTCCTACCTGGGCTGACTTCAAACTGCAGATCCTCAGATCTCAGCCTCCTGAATAGCTAGGATTCCTGGCGTAAGCCACCAGCACCTGGTTCACTTCTGGCTTTTTAAATGGCTAATTGAAAATAAGTGTGTCATGTTGATCCTCACATCTCAGCTTCCTGAGTTGCTAGGATTACAGGAGGGAGCCACTGGCGCACAGCCTATATCCTGTTTTTATTCAATATATTTAGTACAGATCATGTCCTCACTGTGTCATCGTTTTTCTGGATGGGGTGGCTAAAGTTCACCATTATTTCCTCTGTCCTAGTCTGAGTTTACCATACCATTGATTTTTTTCCCCCTCATTTCTTTTCAGATCCTTAAGGATTCAGCCCCTTTCCCTCCAACTAAATTAAGCTCACTGCAAGCTATAGAGGGCAGCAAGCTACCATCTCTTCAACAGCCTATCTCTGAACAGATGAGAGTCAACCTCTGAAGAGACTCTTTCAAAGAAACAATTGCTCTTGATGGGAAAACTGCACTCATTCCATTCTTATGTCACCCAGTAGAAGAAATGGCCTGGGAAATGTACAGACTGGCATGGTCTTTGCAGTGCTAACCCAGAGATTTCACTAATTTGTGGAGTAGGGCTAGAAGGAAATAACTTGACTTATATTCCCAAATGGTTGTATCTTTAACTGAACTATTTTGATATATTTTTGACACAATGAGCAATGGTGTAAGTTGGATTTTTTTTGTTTTGTTTTTGTTTTTCGGTCATGAGGCTTGAACTGGGGGCCCAGGTGCTGTCCCTGAGTTCTTTTACCCAAAGCTACCACTTTAAGCTACAGTGCTACTTCTGGTTTGCTGGTGGTTAAATGCAGATAATGGTCTAACAGACACCTGCCGGGGCTGGCTTCAAACCATGATCCTCAGGTCTCAGACTCCAGAGTAGCTAGGATTACATGTAGGAGCTACCAGAGGCTGGCTAAGTGTTTTGTGTTTTTTTTTTTTTTTGGTCAGTCATGGGGCTTAAACTCTGGGCCTGGGCACTGTCCCTCAGCTCTTCAGCTCAAGGCTAGTTCTCTACCACTTGAGCCACAGTACTACTTCTGATTTTCTAGGTGGTTTATTGGAGATAAGAATCTCACGGACTTTCCTGCCTGGGCTGGCTTTGAACCTTGATCCTCAGATCTCAGCCTCCTGAGTAGTTAGGATTACAGGTGTGAGCCACGAGCGCCCAGCTGCTAAGTGGGTTTTTTTTAATTAACCAAAGAATAATCATTTTTAATAACGCACCAGGTGTGTGGCTTTTCTATTTATATATACATACATACATATGTTCTTAAAAACAATTAAAAAGGGCTTTATGACACCTAAGGATTTCTATTTGATGTCAGCTGTCAGACACCTGCTGTTGAATCTGGCTTATAGAGAGAAAACAGTTCTCATGTGGGTTGATAAGATGATTTATTTCTGCTGAGGAAAGCAATGAGACTTGTTTGATTACTTTGTTAGCCAGAAAGAACCAAGGTACCCTTGAAAAAGTGAGGTGAATGGAAGAATCCAAAAGTTCTAAAAAGAACTTTTGTCTAAAATTAGGGCAGACTACATGCTTGCCCTGCACCTGCCTTGGAAGGAAATTTCTGTTCTCAAGGATAATCCAAGGTCTCAAAAACACACAGTTCTTTTTATACAACTATAGGTTTGTTCAGAGTCACTCATTCTGAAGATGTGTAAGCCTGAGAGTCTCTAGCTTTTTTTTGGGTGTGTGGGGGGGAGGCAGATCGGGATTCCAAGGTGTTCTGGAACAGATTTTGTCAGTATTCACAACTGTATTGAAATTTGGGATTGAAAATAAAAAAGAATGGATGGGGGTGGGGAGTAGAGGAAGACCATATTTTCTGCAAGCCTATGCTGCATAGTAAGAACCAGTCTTGCCAGGCGCTGGTAGCTCACACCTATAATCCTAGCTACTCAGGAGGCTGAGATCTGAGGATCACAGTTCAAAGCCAGCCGGTACAGGAAATCCTGTGAGACATTTATCTCCAATTAACCACCAGAAAACCGGAAATGGCTCAAGTGGTAGAGTGCTTGCCTTGAGCTTTAGAGCTGAGGAACAGCACCCAAGCCCAGAGTTCAAGCCCCAGGACCAACAAAAATAAATAAAAATCAGTCATTTATGATCATCTCCCAATGGTGCCACATTTTTTGTTGTTGTTGTTGTTCTTGGGGCTTGAACTCAGGGTCTGAGCATTGTCCCTGAGCCCTTTTTGCTCAAGGCTGGCACTGTACCATTTTGAACCACAGTGCCACTTCTGGTTTTCTGGTGGTTAGAGATAAGGGTCTCATAGACTTTTCTGCCCAGGGTGGCTTCTAACCATGATCCTCAGATCTCAGTCTCCTGAGTAGCTAGGATTACAGGCAAGAGCCACAAGCCTTAGCCACTGGAGCCCTGTTCAATTCCCACCCATTCTCTACTAGGAAATACTGTATATACAATGACAGAGAAAAGTTAAACTGACCTCTCACTTGCTAGGTAAGCAGTCTACTTCTTTTTCTTTCTTTTTTTTTTTTTGAGACAGAACCCTACTATGTAACCCAGCCTAGTTTAACTTTGAAATTGAATCCTCCTTGCCACCACCTCCCAAATGTGGAGAGTAGATATTAGCACTGTGCCTGACTTCTAAGATCCAGATTTACCTAAGGTCACATTACATTGTTTTGGAGCCAAGACTAGAATCCAACCCGGCATTCCTCTAGGTCTTTTTCTTTTTCAGTTCTGGCATTTGCATCAGGTCCATGCATGTTAGGTGACTGCCTAATACCTGAGCCATGCCCCCAGCCTTTCTTTGAATAGATCTCACATCTACGCCCCACTGGTCTGCCCTCCATCCTTTGTATGTGGCTGTGGCTGTGTGTGGTCTTGAACTCCGGGCCTGGGTAGCTGTCCTTTAGCTTCTATGTTAAAGGATAGCATCCTACCACTTGAGAAATACCTCCACTTCCGGCCTCCTTAGTGGTTAACTGGAGATTAAGAGTTTCACGGATTTTCCTGCTCGGGCTAGCTTCGGACCTTGATCCTCAGATCTCAGTGTAATCAGAATTAGAGACGTGAGCGTTGGCGCGGTCTCCCCTTTGCGGCTCAGCCTCTCCCTTTCCTGCATTCACGCAACCCTCCTAGGAATGATGATGATGATGATGTTGCCAAGCAGTTCCTCGTCTTGCGGGACTCTGCGCGTTGCAAACGCGCAAACAGCACCGAAGACCTCCGCCTCTCCAGACGACACCTGAAGCACTATTCTCAGGCACTGCGCAAGCGCGGGTTTGGGCTCGCGCAGGCGCAGGGGGCGGGCTGCGGGCCAATAGAAAAGACAGGCCGATAGTTACGTGTCATGACACCATCCAATGACATCTTACTCCGAAATCTCTCCGGGCCCAGAGTAAATGGGCGGAGTCACGTGAGGTGGGAAGGTAAATACAGCCACGTGTCCCCGCTGTGAAAGGTGACGCGCTCCGTAACGAGCCCGGCCCGCGTCCGGCACCGCGCAGACGCCGTGGCTGCTGCGATCTTAATCCTCTCTCAAATGATTTTCAGTTGTTTTTTTTTCCCCACTCAAACCCTCTTGGCCACGGTAATAGAATTTCCTTTATCCAGTTTTCAGCGCCCAGCGGATGCTCATGAAAAGATGATTAACCGGGCGCTGATGGCTTAGGTTTGTAATACTACCCGCTCAGGAGGCTGAGATCTGAGGATCGCGGTTCGAGGCCAGCCTGGATAGCAAAGTTTGTGAGACTCTCCAATTACACAGACACAGACACACACAGAGACACAGACACACACAGAGACACAGACACACAGACACACACAGAGACACACACACAGAGATCTGGCCAGCCTGGGCTACGCAGTAAGCCCCTGTCTCAACGAAGAGCGGTGCTAGAGTGTGGCTGTAGCAATCACAAGGTCCTGAGCTCAAACCTCAGTATTGAGAAAAAAGCAAGAGTTGTAGAAAGCAGTGGTTTAACTCAGTTGGCAATGGAGTAAGAGGAATGAAAGCAGGTGAGATCTGTTAAACAACTTCAGGAGGGAGCTCAGAGCGTAGTTGCTGATGGAAGTGAGCAAAATGACTTCTCCTATTGGGCCTCAACTTAGAAAATAAGATCTCTGAGGATGGGATTTAGCTCAGTGGAAGAGCACTTGCCCGGCAAGTGCAAGGTCCCTGAGTTCGGTCCTTAGCTCTGGGGAAAAAGAAGAAGAAAATAAGATGATGATCTAGGACTAGCTTCTAGGAATAGTTCCTAGGACTAGCAGAAAATTTAGAGACATGCAGCCCTGGGAGAGTAAATAATTGATGGTGGCTGATGATGACTCACATTTCAAAGAATTTGCTTCCTAAAAATGTCCTAGCTTGAATGGTCTTCACAGAGATCTAGTTATGTTTAGTAGACAGAGAATACCACAATCTCCAAACATGAGATCTTTCAAGAGATGCTTTATTGGAAGACACACTGTAAGATGCAGGCAGGGGTGCTGCTTTTCAAAGGTGACAATCCTAACAGTGTTTCTTGGTGTCCAGGTCTTTGTGCTCCTTGTTGTATGGGGCCTGGGAGAAGCAGATGGCAGCTTCACGGTCACAATTGCAGATGAAAGCTTCACATTCATTGTTTTTGCCTTGAAAGGGACAAAAAGTGGGGTGAGCCAAGCTGCTTCTTGCTTTGTACAACCCAGGAAGAAGAATTAGTTGGAATAAGCTTCTAGCTATCACACTGGTACAAAATTTCAGTTGAGAAACCAAGCAAACTAGGTGCCTAGTTATATTTGACTTTAATTTTTTTGTGTGCCAGTCCTGGGATTTGAAATTCAAGGCCTTAGCTACTCAGGAAGCTGAGATCTGAGGATCACCATTCGAAGCCAGCCTAGACAGGAAAGTCTGTGGGATTCTTATCTCCAATTAACAACCAAAAAGCTGGGAAAGTGGCTCAGTGGTAGAGAGCTTGCCTTGCATGCATGAGGCCCTGGGTTCAATTCCTCAGCACCACATAAGCAAAAGGAAAAAAAGCCAGAAGTGGCGCTGTGGCTTAAGTGGTACAGCGCTAGCCTTGAGCTGAAGAGCTGAGGGACAGCGCCCAGGCCCAGAGTTCAGCTCCCACGACCGGACCCCAAAAAAAAGAAAGAAAGAAAGAAAGAAAGAATAGCAGGAAAGAGAAAAGAGGAAAGAAAGAAAGAAGAGATAAAAAGGAAGAGTGAAAGAAGGGAGGGAGGTAAGTAGTAAGGAGGAAGAGAAGGAATGAAAAAGAAGGAAGTAAGGGAGAAAAGAAAGAAGTAAAAGAAAGCAAAAACATAGGAGCTTAGGCGCTCCAGTGGCGCAGTCGGCTAGCACGTAGTACTTATAAGAAAGCATAAACTCAGACTCAGTGCTTAGGATGAGAGCCTTTTTTCCCCCATCAGTCGTGACGCTTGAACTTGGGGCCTAGGCACTGTCCCTGAGCTTTTTTTGTTCAAGGCTAGTACTCTACCACTTTGAGCCACAGCTCCATTTCCATTTTTCTGATGGTTAATTGGAGAGATTGGAGTCTCACAGACTTTCCTGTTTGGGCTGGCTTTGAACTGAGATCTTTAGATCTCAGTCTCATGAGTAGCTAGATTTTAGAGGCATGAGCCACCCATGCCCAGAAAGATGAGAGCCTTATAAATTAGATTAAATCAGATTTATTTATTTATTTATTGCCAGTCCCGAGGCTTGAACTCAGTGCCTGCATACTGTCCCTGAGCTTCTTTTTGCTCAAGGCTAGCACTCTACCACTTGAGCTACAATGCCACTTCCAGCTTTTTCTGTGTACTGAGGAATCCAACCCAGGGCTTCATGCATATTAGGTAAGCACTCTACCACTAAACCACATTCCCAGTCCAAAACCAGGTTTAAATATCAACTACTACTTACCAAAGTATATGCCTTGGAGTAAATGACTCTGAGTGTGTGTGTGTGTGTGTGTGTGTGTGTGTGTGTGTGTGCACATGTGCTGAGGCTTGAATTCAGAGCTTTGCAATTACTAAACAAATGCTTTAATATTTGAGCCACACCCCTCAGCCCAAATGACTGTCTTTGAGCCTCAGTTTCCCAGATTTTAAAATGGGGACAATAAAACCTATCCTGTATACATTATTAGCCCAGCTTCTGCCATGTAATAGCAGGTTTCTTAATAATATAGCTCTGAGCTTTTTATTACATTAGGAAGCAATAAAACATGGCAGTTAAAGGCAGAGCTTTGGAGTTCTACAGAACTCTGTTCCAAAACCAAACCTTACAGGCTGTGTGACCTCAGACAAATGACTTCATTTTCTGAGCCTCAGTTTCCTCATCTGTAAAATCGAGATAGTGGGCGCTGGTAGCTCACGCCTGTAATCCTAGCTACTCAGGAGGCTGAGATCTGAGGATCGCGGTTCAAAGCCAGCCCGGGCAGGACAGCGCCCAAACCCAGAGTTCAAGCCCCACGACAAAAAAAAAAAATCGAGATAGTATCCTGTCCCCCAGGGTTGTTATGAGGTTAAAATGAGAGCAAGAGAATGACCAATTAATTGTGACTATCATGGCTATGATTTTTCCCAGGCTTAGCGGAATCTGAAAGTCAGACAGAAGGTAGACATACTGCTGCAGGTGATCTGGGAGCCAGAGCACGTGTAAGAGTAGGTGTTGGTGTAAGGATTGTCCACAAGGAATTTACAGCTGCTCATCTTCTTGGCCTGGGTATAGCAATGGTCATGTCTCTGGCAGCATCTGAAGAAGAAGAGGAACAAAATCAATCAAGGATCATGGCTTGGTAGCAGTCTGAGTCACCTCCTGTCTTTTGGGGAAGTATGCATAACTTAGCTGAAATGCTCCAGGAGAAATATTTTACATACAACTTGGAAAATGGTAAGCCCTTATTTATTTATTTGTTTGTTTGTTTATTTGTTGGTTGGTTGGTTGGTCATGGGGTTTGAACTTAGGGCCTGAGCACTGCCCCTGAGCTTTTTCACTCAGAACTAGCACTCTACCACTTTGAATCACAGTGACACTTTCGGTTTTCTGGTGGTTAAATGGAGATAAGAGCCTCATGGGCTTTCTTGCCCAGGCTGGGTTTGAACTGTGATCTTCTGAACTCAGCCTCCTGAGGAGCTAGGATTATAGGCATGAGCCACCAGTGGCTGGCCTCTTTATTTATTTACTTTTGGGGGGGCGGTCCAGTCGTGGGGCCTGAACTCTGAGCCTGGGTGCTGTCCCTCACCTCTTCAGCTCAAGACTAGTGCTCTACCACTTGAGCCACAGCACCACTTCCGGCTTTTTTCTTTTTGCTTCTGAGGAATCAAATCCAGGGCCTCATGCATGCAAGACAAGCACTTCACCACTGAGCCACCTTCCCAGCCCCTATTTATTTACTTTTAACCACATGTTCAGTAGATGTGATTAAGGAACACAGAAAAAAAAAAAGATATATACTGGAGATACAGTGACACTTTTTTTTTTTTTTTTTTTGCCAGTCCTGGGGGCTTGAACTCAGGGCCTGGACACTGTCCCTGAGCTGCTTTTGCTTGAGGCTAGCACTCTACCACTTGAGCTACAGAATTGCTTCTGACCCTTTCTGTGTTTGTGGTATTGAGGAATTGAACCCAGGGCTTCATGCATGCTAGGCAAGCTCTCTACCACTAAGCCACATTCCTAGCCCATACAGTTTTTTTTTTCAACTGGACTTTTCTTTGGTTTTACATGTGCAACTTAGATGTCATATAAGAAGCAGAGAAAATATCATTTCTGGCTTCCTCCCAAATAAAAATAGGAGCAAATTAAGGCCTTAAAACAGTTTCTCTTACAAAGTTCTCCAATTCCACAGATGACATTCTGTTCCAAGGGAATTACAATCACATCCATCAAGTAATTGTGCCTATACATTCTGCCATGAAACTTTTTGTTGTTGGTGGTGGTTCTGAGGCTTGAACTCAGGGCCTGGGTACTGTCCTTGAGCTTTTGTGCTCATGGCTAGTGTTCAACCATTTGATCCACAGCTCCACTTTCAGCTTTTCTGGTGGTTAACTGGTAATAAGTGTCTCATGGACTTTCTTGCCTGGAAATGTCTTCAAACTGTGATCCTCAGATCTCAGCCTTCTGGATAGTTAGGATGACAAGCTGTGAGCTACCAGTGTCCCACCTGTGACACTTTTTTTTAATTGTGAAAATACCTTACAGAGGGGTTACAATTACCCGGGCAAGGTAATGAGTGCATTTCTTTCTTTCTTTTTTTTTTTTTTTTTTTTCGGTCTTGGGGCTTGAACTCTGGGCCTGGGCACTGTCCCTCAGCTCTTCAGCTCAAGGCGAGAGCTCTGCCACTTGAGCTACAGCGCCACTTCCAGTTTTCTGGTGGTTTATTGGAGATAGGAGTCTCACGGTCTCTCCTGCCCGGGCTGGCTTTGAACCGCGATCCTCAGATCTCAGCCTCCTGAGTAGCTAGGATTACAGGCGTGAGCCACCAGCGCCCGGCTATGAGTGCATTTCTTATCAATCATTGTTGCCTCCTCCTTTGTTCCCCCCACACACACTTTTTTTCAACAAGAGCTCCTGACACCTGGATTGTGATCATGGCAGTTGGAGTTGCTCTATCCAGACACTAGAGGGCAGAATCACATGCTATTTTACATCTTGGATTTTCCACTTTCCATTTCCAGAGGTGACATTGGCTGGAGGGGCCTCTTGGGGAGGTTTTCTTCACAGGATGCAAGGGCAGAACATAGGCTATGCTTTGTCCATATTTATGCACTGTGAAATCCTTTCCTTGTCTACTGCCCCCCCCAGACACACAGATGGCTTGTTACCTGTCCAGATCATCCACAGGGGTGCCTGAGCCCCCCAAGCCACAGTAGCAGCCGTAGTTGTTGTATTCCTTGTAGGGGTCACTCCCAGGAATGGTACACTTGATCATGTTGCGGAACTGCCACACAGCCCGAGGGATGATGCTGTGTGCAGTAGCACCCACTGCAAAAAAGCAGCCAGATCAAATTCATCCTCAGTGGCTCTGGGGCCCAGGGGTCCACTGCCTGCCCTCTGTATTCCTCACCCCTGCCAGTTGCTGCTTCAGAAAAGCATGGTGGGGAGCAGGAACCTGATAAAACAGGATTTTTTTTTTTTTTGCCAGTCCTGGGGCTTAAACTCTGAGCCTGGACACTGGCCCTGAGCTGCTTTTGCCTAAGGCTAGCACTCTGCCACTAAGCAACATTCCTAGCCCAAATCAGGGATTTTTGTTGTTGTTGTTGTTGGTCATGGGGCTTGAACTCTGGGCCTGGGTGCTGTCCCTGAGCTCTTCAGCTCAAGGTGAGTACTCTACCACTTGAGCCACAGTACCACTTCTGATTTTCTGGTGGTTAATTGGAGATAAGAGTCTCGCGGACTTTCCTGCCCAGGCTGGCTTTCAACTGTGATCCTCAGATCTCAGCCTGCTGAGTAGCTAGGATTACAGGCATGAGCTATGAATTCCCAGCTTATCTGGCTTTTTTGTCCAAGGCTATTTAACATGTGAGCTACAACTCCAGTTCTGGCACTTAAAGTATCACAAACTTTTTTGGCCGGTCTGACTGTAAACCAGGATCTTGAGATCTCAGCTTCTTGAACAGCTAACAACAGGCCTGAGCCACAAGTGTTCAGCCTGGTCTGTTTTTTGTCTTGATTTGTCTATGCTGGATATTCCCTATAAATGGATCGTACAGTGGGTGTCCTTTTTATGATTTCTTTCACTTAGCATGCATTTTTGCTTTTTGTTGTTTTTGGCAGTGCCGGGGGAGTGAACCCGGGACCTTGCACATGCTAGGCAGCACTGTTAACACTGAGCTACATTCTCAGCCCTTTGTTTCCTGAGAGGGTCTTGTTGTGTAGCACAGGCTAGTCTTGAACTCCATCCTTTTGCTTCAGCCTCCCAAGTTCTGGGATTATAGGCATGCGGTACCATGCCCAGCTGGCCTATCAATACCCAACAATTGACTTTTGTCTTGCTCATTCTTTTTGGTCCTCTTACTTGCTCCCCCAATGGGAGGTCAGCCACTGGCTGTGAGCTGCCCTGTGGAGGGGTCCATGTGTAAGATGCTGAGGGAAAGTGGCCTCCTCCAACAGCCAGGAGAAAACCCAGCTCTTAGTCCAGTAGCTCATAGCGAACCAATCAAATCCTGCCAAGAACCAGTTGTGCGTCTTGAAGCAGCTCCACCCCCAATTAAGCCTCAGATGAGACATGAAGCTAAGACTATCTCCCAATCATAGCTCTGGAAAAGATCTTGAGCCAGAGAAGCAGACCCACCCCAGTTATACCCCCATCCTGACCCACAGAAGGAGAAATCTGCTAGGCATGTGTGCACTGCGGGCTCACATCTGCAATCCAAGCTATTCAGGGGCTGAGATCTGAGAATCATGATTCAAAGCCAGCCCAGGCAGAAAAGTCCAGAGACTCTTATCTCCAAAGAACCAGAAAAAAGCTAGAAGTGGAGCTGTGGCTTAAGTGCCAGAGTGCCAGTCTTGAGCAAAAAAGCTAAGAGACAGAGCTCAGGCCCTGAGTTTAAGCCCCAGTGCCAGCACACACACACACACACACACACACACACACACACACACACACACATACTGTTTACATTGCTAATTTTGTTGTTGTTCTTGGGGCTTGAACTCTGGGCCTGGGCACTGTCCCTGAGCTTTTCAGCTCAAGGTGAGTACTCTACCACTTGAGCCACAGCGCCACTTCCGGTTTTCTGGGGTTTATTGGAGATCAGAGTTTCACAGACTTTTCCTGCCCAAGCTGGCTTTGAATTGTGGTCTTCAGATCTCAGCCTCCTGAAGAGCTAGGATTACAGGCATGAGCCACTGGCAGCCAGCACAAAAACATTTTTTGTTTATTTATTTATTTATTTATGGGTCCGGTCATGGGCCTGAACTCTGGGGCTGGGTGCTGTCCCTCAGCTCTTCAGCTCAAGGCTAGTGCTCTACCACTTGAGCCACAGTGCCACTTCCAGCTTTTTTCTTTTTGCTTATGTGG